AAAGAGCTGGATGTATGTGATAGAGCCCCTCAACTGTCTGTTTTCAAAGAGCACTCAAAAAGTCTCTAACCATTTCTACAAAACAGCTTTGAGGTAGGTTATGTGTCCGTCCTTCATGAAAGTGACTAAGAGGCTGAACCTACCTTTTTGAGGAGATGCGAGTTGGTGAGCCCAGGTTAGATCTGCAGCTCACCAACGGAGCAAAAGAGCAGGGGTGGCTTGGCACACATCAAGACTTTGGGGGGCTTGTTAAAGCACAGATTCCCGGGCCCCATCCCCAGAGCCTGATGCAGGAGGTCTGAGGCACCCCGCAGGCCTGATGGGCTTCCAGGTGATATTGGTCCTGCCGATCGGGAAACACACTTTGAGCACCCCTGGGCTAGCGAAAGCTCATTGGAGAAATCTTAAATTTGGAAGAAAACAGATGCGAGGGGCTTTTATGGATGGTTTGCAGCTGTGATCTTTTCTCTGTTTTACCGACATCCTAGGTCAGAGGCCTGAGCCAGAGAGGGCTGGCCCTAGATCCCAGTATAAGAGACTGTCCGCTTGCCATGATTCCAAACAGCAGAGAGAGATGAGTGTTGGGGAAACGGGAGGGGAATTTATTCACTGTGGCCACACGGGGAAGACAAAGGGCCTAGCGACCTCCTAAGAAAAAGGCCCTTAAGGTACTGACAATAGCTTCAGGATTATAGAGGGGGTAAGAAAGGTGGGAAATATCCAGAGTCAAGCAGCCTCGGTCACACTGGGGTCTGGTTGATCATGACCTGGGGTCTGGTTGATCATGACCTCGGGTCTGGTCCTACAGGGGCACCAGGGAAATCAGTTTTGCTTTGGGAGCAATTGCAGTTCCTGCCTTGAGGTGATCTGCCTGCAAGGCTCACTGTTCTTGGAACTTGAGATAAGCTGGGGAGGGAAAGTGACTCAGGTTAGGACAATGGCGGGCTCCTCCTTCAAATCAGCAACTTTTGAAAATAAATTATTTATTTATTCTAATTAGATATCTATGGCAGCAGAATGCACTTTGATTTATTGTACACAATTACCAGCACAACCTTTCATTTCTCTAGTCGTACGTGATGTAATGTCGCACCATATACGCAGTCATACGTGTACCTAGGGTAACAAATTCCCAATTTTTTAAAATATTTTTTTTAGTTGTTAATAGACCTTTATTTTATTCATTTATTTATATGCACTGCTGAGAACCGAACCCAGTGCCTCACACATGCTAGGCAAATGCTCTACCGCTGAGCCACAAACCCAGCCCCCCAAAATTCCTGATTAAAAAAAAAATTTTTATAGTTGTCGATGGACAAAATGCCTTCATTTTATTTGTTTATTTTTATGTGCGACTGAGGATCAAACCCAGTGCCTCACACGTGCTAGGCAAGCGCTCTGCCACTGAACTACAGCCCCAGGCCCCAAATTTCCAATTTTAAAGGAGCAGTCTGGGTCACACTGGGGTCTGGTTGATCATGACCTCGGGTCTGGTCCTACATGTTACTTCAGGAGGCTGGGAGAGGGGGTTTCAGACATTCAGAGAATGCTTTTGTGATTAGGTCTGCACATGGTGGAAGGGGAACAAAGTGTGTCTGAGGAGCTTCTGAGGGCAAGTGACACTGAAGGGGGGCTGTAAAGTCCTAGAAGGCCAAGGGCCAGGGTCAGGGTAAAATCAGCTGTACAGAGTGTTAGTGTAATAAGTATTCATGAGAAAAGAACCACAATCCCACCCAGGTATTTTTTAAACCATTTGAAACAATGGTCAAGTAATAGTTAAAAGGCTTAAGGCAAGATCCACTCCTGTCCCTTTACCACGTTCCCCACTCCCAGTCCTATTCCCTAAACCAACTTTTCATGTTTCTCAAACTTTATTGAGTACATGAATCCCCTGGGGATTTTGTTAAATGCAGGTTTGACTCAGTGGGCCTAAGAAGTGGAGGCCTGAAATTCTGTACTTCTACAAACTCCCAGGTGATATGGTGTTGGTCTATGGGTCACACTTTATATTAACGGTTTGAACAATTATTTTAGATGTGTATTTTGGCAATCAGTTTTAGCCATTGATAATTTACTTCTGCCATAATATAATTTTATTTAGTATTTTGATCAACATTAATAAACAGTGTTACAATGACCATCTTATATGGCCTTTTGTTTTTCCTGGAGTTTTTAATTGTCTTTCTTTTCTTCTTACAATGTCTTGCTCATAAAAACTCCTGATCCCTCCAAAGTTCACTATAACAGATATTCTTTGAAGTGCTCTTTTCTCTGGAAGATCTTCCTCCCCCTACTCATTTTACCTCTTCTCCAAATTAAATAAAATGAAAACCACTTCCTACCTCCTCCTCAGGTTGTTCACTCTTCCTAGGATATTGTCTCCTTTCTCCTATCATTTCCTCTTCACAGGCTTTCATGCAACCTGTTGAAGTATTGCTCACTACTGTCATTGTAAGCAACTTCTCGAAGCCTTGTAGCTTCCTTTCCTCCATCAGTAGAGATATCTTCCTCTGCTTTCTTTTGTCTCCCTTATTCCTTTTTAAAAATTGGTTCTTTATAGTTATATATGACAATAGAATCCATTTTGATATAAATATACAAGCATGGACTATATCTTATTCTAATTAGGACCCCATTCTTGTGGATGTATATGATGGCAGAATTCACTATGGTGCATTCATATGTATACATAGGAAAATTATTTGAAATTCATTCCACTGTCTTTCCTTTTCCGATCCCCCTCCCTTCCTTTCATTCCCCTTTGTTCAAGCTACTGAATATCTATTCTTCCTCTCCCTTATTCCTTCATTGCATACATGTGTTTATGCACACACACACATACACACACACACGCCGCCTCCTCAGAAAGACCCCTTGTTCCTCGTGAAGTAGTTCCACCCTTCTCTTTCCCACCCCACAGCCACCCTCCATGACATTGCCCTGGATGGTAGATTCATTTTATTGGTGGCTCTAATTAATACTCTCCCTTTACCTGTACCCTTTTGGATGGACTTGGTTTTTCCATTGAGAGATACGGTCCATTTCCCTACCCCTTGACCTGGACTGATCTGTAACTTGCTTGTATGTGACAGAAGTGGAGGTGTGCCAGTTCTGAACCCAGACACTGGGATTCCTTGTCTATTTTTACTGTCTCCAGAACCTTAACACCACCATGTATTCAAACCCAGGATAGCCAGCTGGGGGAGGGGCATTTGTGTTCCACATCCTGTGCACACATCTGCAGGACAGGCATATATTAAGTAAAAGACTTCCTAGCAGGTAGCAGAAGAGCAACATAGTACAATGTGAAAATGCTGATTCCCTTTCCTCTCTCTTGCCCCAAAAGGCCACTGAAAGCATGAAGTTTTTTTTTTCAGCAGTTCTCATTTTCATTAGACATGGACTAGAGCTAAGTTCATTCTGGACAGCTGGCCGCTAATCAACCAGTTACTTAATCAAAGACACCTGGACTAGCAAGACCAGAAGAACTGACCAGTTGAGCCCAGTTTAAATAGTAATTTATAGGATTATGAGCTAAATAAATAATTATTGAATTTTGGAGTACTTTGTTATGCAGCAAGTGCTGACTGATACACCTTGCTTATTTCCTTTACAGCCCTTATCATTATCTAATATTATCTTATACTGTCTTTCTCTCCTCTTTCTCTTGTTTCTCCTTTCCCTCCACTCTTTTGAATGTCAGTTCTACTGGGGTATGCTCTTATGTATTTTCTTCATAACTGTGTTTAGAATAGTGTCTGGATATTCTGGGTGCTAAATCATTTTGGGTAAATGAATGAATGAACAAACGAACGTGCCAATTGCAAATGCTCATGTGTTGCTCTTATTTGGGAGGTGGAATCTACAATGGAGGTAATAAAAGAGGAGCAGAACTTTGAATTCAGTCTGGATTCAAATTCTGGCTCCCCCACTTACTAGCTTTGTGATCTTGGATAAATCCCTTGACCTCTTTGAGCTTCGATTTCATTGTCACATAACATTATTATGTAAATATCTATCTTCCATGATTATTCTGAACATTAAACATGTGTGAGAATTATTCTGGAAATTGTGAAATACTGTATCAATGTTATTCATTGTTTTTAGTTCGACCTACTTTTTGGTTCTCTGGGTAAAGAAATAGCCTAATGTAAAATTTTAAATTTGTGGAACAAATGAAGGCCCATGTCCCCAGGTTGAGGGACACAGGCATGGAACCCTTAGATGATTGGGAACTTTTAAAAGAAGAAGGGTTGTTAGAAAGGCAAACCCAGGCAAGCTAGTCAGCTTTCTGTCCCTGTGACAAAATACCTGAGAGAATCAACTTCAAAGGAGAAAAAGGCATGTTTTAGCTCATAGTTTCAGAGGTTTCCATCCACAATCACTTGGCCTTGTGGCTTTGGGGGCTGTGGCAGCCCAGTCCATCATGGTGGGAGAGTGTCAGGAGTTTCTGTTCCCCTCCCATGGCAGCCAGGAAGCAGAGAGGGAAGCAGGGCTCCGATCCCCACATCCCTTTCAGGGGCACACCCCAATGACCTCACTTCCTCCCACTAGGCCCCACCTCCCAATAGCACTGCAGGCTGGGGACATGGGCCTTCAGGGGACATTCCGGATCCAAACCATAGCACAGGGTAAGAGAGCGAGAAGAGCCCTGAATTTGGTTGAATTGGATGACAGTCCTGCACTGGTCATCATTGGGTTTCTCTGTCGCGCTCAAAAATGGAATCTTTTAACAACAAGAAAGGACCAGTTCTCTTGCTTTGGAATCTCAGATAGCAACTCCGTCAGCCGCCCTAGGGAATAGATATTAGTGTCCCCATTTTACAAAACAGGAAATCGAGGCTCTGAGACAAAGGCCACCCTGTAAGTAAATGTAGAGCTGAACAGAACCTACCTATACCCATGACACTGTGAGGACACTGCATTTGTCACCTGCTTGGAGCTGTCTTGGCTCTTTCCTGCATTAGCTTTCCCCCTCTCACAGCTACCTCTGAAGCAGGTCGTATTAACTCACTTTACTGATAAGGAAAGTGTCTCTCCCAGGGTCACCGAGGAAGGGGTGCTTCAACTCCAAAGCATCAAAGCACCCAAGCCTGTGATCCCGGCTGCTCTTCCTTGGCCATTCCTGGGGGTGGCAGCAGGAACAAGTTCAAGAACTTGGGTAGATGGTGGGAACCTTAAAACAGAAAGAGAAGAGAGCTCAGTCTTTGCGGCCAACGGAAAGGAAGGATGGATGGTGCTGGGGTAGTAGCAGGACAAAGGAATAGAAGTAAGGTTACCTGGGGCTGGGGATGTGGCTCAAGCGGTAGCGCGCTGGCCTGGCATGCGTGCAGCCCGGGTTCGATCCTCAGCACCACATACAAACAAAGATGTTGTGTCCGCCGAAAAAAAACTAAAAAATAAACATTAAAAAAAAGAAGTAAGGTTACTCATCCCCCAGGTTCTCTGCAAAGCCCCCTGAGCCCAAGACAGCAGAGGTAGAAGCCAAGGCAGAGTCCTCTCTTTCTCTTAGGTACTCTTCCCCTCCCCCACAGTGATCACTGACTTTATTTTTAAATTAATTAATTAACTTATTTTAATTAGCTATATATGACAGCAGAATGCCTTTTGATTCATGGTACACAATTGCAGCACGACTTTTCATTTCTGTGGTTGTACACGATGTAGTGTCGCACCACATGAAACTGTTTTGAAAATTTATATTCCAGTAAAATAGAAAACCTCGAAGACAACAACAAATTTCTAGAGGCATGCAATCAACCCAAACTGAGTCAAGAGGACATATACAATTTAAACAGATCAACTTCAAGCAAGGAAATAGAAGACGCCATCAAAAGCCTGCCAACCAAGAAAAGCCCAGGGCCAGACAGACTCACAGCCAAGTTCTACAAGACTTACCAAGAAAAAAATAATACCAATACTCCTCAAATTATTCCATGAAATAGAAAAGGAGGGAACCCTTCCAAACTCATTCTACGAAGCTAGTAGCATCCTGATACCAAAACCAGGAGGAGACACATCAAGGACAGAAAATTTCAGACCAATATCCCTGATGAACATTGATGCAAAAATTCTCAATAAAATTCTGGCAAATTGCATACAAAAATATATTAAAAAAATAGTGCACCATGGGTGGGGTTTGTTCCAGGGATGCAAGATTGGTTCAACATACGGAAATCAATAAATACTATTCATCACATCAACAGACTTAAAGATAAGAATCATATGATTATCTCAATTGATGCAGAGAAAGCATTTGACAAAACACAGCACCTGCTCATTTTCAAAACACTAGAAAAACTAGGGATAGTAGGAACATACCTCAACATTGTAAAAGCTATTCAATGCTAAACCCCAGGCCAACATCATCCTAAATGGAGAAAAACTGGAAGCATTTCCTCTAAAAACCGGAACAAGACAGGGATGCCCTCTTTCACCACTTCTATTCAACATAGTCCTTGAAACTCTAGCCAGAGCAATCAGACGAAAGAAATTAAAGGGATACAAATAGAAAAAGAAGAACTCAACTATATTAGGTACTCTTGTGGGAAACGAACTGGTCGAGAAGCATCAAGCAGCACTCAGAGAGGAGGAGAACACCAAACTTTAAGCCAGCGGCCCCAGAGGAGATCAGACTCCAAATTCTGAGCGCCCATCACCAGTTTTTCACAATCTTTATGGGCTCTCTAGTGTCATAAATTTTCTAGTCTAAAGGATACATGGCTGTGCATGGGTTTCTAGCGGGAAGCCTGTTTACCCAGAGTGTGATAAGGGGAAGGACTGGGTCCTCTTATAAGGTCTTAGATAAATTGCTAGTCTTACAGGAGGCTCACCCCCTGAGCCTCCATGGGGGTGGTTACACTTCAAAGGAACAGTTAGACTCTCAGGAAAAGTGGTTTACAATCCAAAGGGTTAGGGGTGGACAGTGTTATCAGGTTCCCAGAAGAAGGCAGACTGGAATGGGGAGGGGAACTCTCTCTTTCCCAGGCACAAATTCTCCGGACAGTGTTCTCACTGCAGGCCTGGGGTTGTCACCCATTACACTCTCAGATACAGAGGAAAGGAGTCTTCATGGATGCCTGTCAGACAACGGGGAAAGCCTGGGGCCATGGGAGTGGGTGGTGAATCCCAGGAGCCTGGGATATGTTGAATAAAATACTAGACAGCTTTGAAAAATAAACTCCAAGTCTAACATGTCAATGGGAGGAGGGCTGGTGAAGAAATCCTGCAAGGCTTGTCGGAAACTTTCATTTGCTCTTTGCTTTTTTTCCTCAAAGAATTTCTTTTTTAATATATATTTATTTTTTAGTTGCAGTTGGACACAATACCTTTATTTATTTTTATGTGATGCTGAGGATTGAACCTGGTGCCTTATGCATGCTAGGCGAGCACTCTACCACTGAGCCACAACCTCAGCCCCTCCTCAAACAATTTCCTTTGGCTAGAGTCCTGCCAACACTCTCTCTGGTCTGCAGAACACAGTTTGGGAAGGCTCTCAAATGATGGGGTTTTTTTTTGTTTTATTTTGTTTTTTTGTCTTTAGGTCCCCTCTTGCAAATGTGGCTAATATCAAAAACTGGGCTATTTCTAAGCTGGAATCTGGAATTAAAGCACAATTTATTATTTTCAACTAACAAATAACGATTGCATGTTTGTATGGGGTATAATGTGATGCTTTAATTACATATACCCTGTAGATTTATTAAATCAAGGTAATTAACATATCCATCACTTCATCTATTACTTGTTTTGTGTGTGTGTGTGTGTGTGTGTGTGTGTGTGTGGTGATGATATTTAAAATCTTCTCTCTCAGCAATTTTGAAATATAAGAAAACATTTTTATCAACTCTATGGAGGGGTCTGAATCCCTGGTTCTGTCCTGTGGGTAAGAGGCTCACTTGGCCACTGTGGGCTTGAGCAGGCGTGTGACTGTGAAGAAGAGGCAGTGGGCCCAACCTCAGGTCAACTGTCCCCACCGAGGAGCTCTACTCTGGGCCTCCGCTGTAGGGACCCAGCCTCTTGATGTGGTGGTTTTGATGTGGCCATTTAGAAACTGAGGACATTTTGACACAGCTATTTTGAGGCTTGTGGAAAATTTATGACTTTTAAAAATAACACCAGCTCTTGAAAAAAATGATCAAGTATCAATTGCACCACAGAGGCCAGGGGGAGGTTGAGGGTTGTGCCCTGGAGAAAGGGGCAGGGTGAGGCTGTGAAGTGGAGTCTATTTTTTAATTTACATTTCTTGGAGGAAAAGAAAGAGTTAAACATTGGATGATCCCATTTGGGGGGTTACAAAAAACCCTGAAATTAAAAAGGTGTCAGTAGTCATGAGATGGCATGGTGTTGATGAGATAATAGAAAGATAGATTAATGGAATAAAATACGAAGCCCAGAAAGAGACCCATACAGAATCAGTCAGCTGATCTTTGACAGAGGGCAGCAGCAATACTGTGAGGAAAGAGTTTCTTCAACAAGTGGAGCTAGAACAACAGGACATCCTCATGCAAAAAAATGAATTAAAAACAGACCTTTCACTATTCACAAAATCAACTCAGAATGGATCACAGATCACAGTGTAAAATGCAAAACTATACAACTTCCCAGAAGAGAATACAGGAGAAAGTGTAAATAATTTTACGTTAGGTAATGACTTTTTAGATAGGACACCAGAGACACCATCCATAAAAAAAAAAAATCGACCAGCTGGACTTATTAGAATCGAAAGTCCTGCTCTGTGAACAACACTGTCAAGAGAACGAGGAGAGGAAACACAGAGTGCGAGAAAAATATTTGCAAAAACACATCTGGTAACAGATTGTTATCCAACACAGACCAAGAACTCTTAAAACATAACAATAAAAAAATAAACAACTTGCTTGAAAAAAAATGGGTAAAAGACCTTATCCCATGCTTCCTAAGAAAAGATACACACATGGCAAATAGACACATGGAGAAGATATTCGGCATCGTATGTCATTAGGGAATTGCAAATTAAACAAAAATAGCACCGCACGCCTGTTAGAATGGCCTAAGTCCAAACACACAACACCAAATGCAGGCGAGGATGTGGAGAGACAGGAAATCTCGTTTGTTGCTGATGGGAACGTGGGAGCACAGAGACACTTTGGAAGACAGTTTGACGGCTTCTTAAAAAACTCTTACCAGGTGATCCGGCAGTTTTGCTCCTTGGTATTTACCCAAATGAGCAGAAAATTCATGTCCAGGCAAAAAAACCTGCAGGAGGATGTCTATAGCAACTTAAGTCACAGTTGCCAAACTTGGAAGCAACCAGGATGCCCTTCAGCAGGTGAATGGATAAACTGTAGGTCATACAGATGACAGAATGTCACTCAACACAAAAAAATAAATGCGCTCTCAAGCCATGAAGAGCCATGGAGAAACCTAACTGCACATGACTCATTGGAAGAAGCCAATCTGGAAAGGCTACGTACACTATGATGCCAACTCTTTTTCCAACTCTGTGACATTCTGGAAAATAAAGTATGGAGATGGTAAGAGGGTCGGTGGTGGCCAAGGGTTAGGGGGAAAAGAGGGAGGGAGGACAGGTGGAGAACAGGGGACTTTTGGGGCAGGGAAACTGCTCTGGGTGATATCATAATGGTGGATGTATGTTATTATATATTTGTCTGAAACCATTAAGTGCTCAGTACCAAGCATGGATCCTAGTGTGGACTTCAGACTGTGGAGACGGGATTCATGGACTGTACCAAGCACCACTCTGGGGCAGGGTGTGGTGAGAGGGCTGCGCTGAGCCTGTATGTTGGAAAATGTATGACAGCGTTGAACCTTCTGCACAATTTTTGCTGTGAATCTACAACTGCTTTAAAAAAAAAAGTTTTAAAAAAATACAACTGCCTGTCAGCACATCTCTCTGTGTGCTAGTCATCTTCACCAGGACTGGATGTTTCCTGCAGTTAGCACGTGAGCCTCCTTCCAGGAGAGAGGGATACCAACGCTTTGAATTCACCCTGGCGCCTCTCCACGGGATGCGACCTTGCCTTTGGGCAGCCTGGCTAAGGGGAAGTTCTAATCTAGGCAGTTTGTTCTGGTGTCTGCAGAGAAACCTCAGGGTTTTGCTGTTTTCTGTTGCTACAGGCGCGGCATCCAGGGATTTATTAAAAATGGAAATTAGATCATACTGTCGCCTAAAGCTCTTCAGTGGCTTTCCACATCCCTGGCATTGGATAAAAACCACTGGCCTGGCTTGAATCCCAGCAAGGCCGGGCCTCTCCTGCTTCTCTGGCTGCCCCTCACACCTCTCTGACTCCCAAGTTGGTCTTTTGTAGTCCGGGATATGTCAATGCCACCCTCTGTTGGGAAGTCACTCCAACTTCACGTTTATGGGAACTTCTTGTAATTGAGGTCTTAAATAACGCCCCTCGTTAGTGAGCCCTCTTCTGAGCCCCCAGCCACTGGCTAGATTCTCTGCAGAGCGCTCACCACTGTTCAGTATTATCTGCTGTATTTCCTGCTATGTCCTGCTTCTCAGAACAGTGCTGGCAGATGGTGGGGACCGGACAAATAGATATTGAATGATGAACTCAGATGAGGTCTCCCAGTGAGATAAAACGCTTGAAAGCCCAAGGCTTGATCATGTTTATCATCACTAGAAGAGGCAGATAAAATCACAAATCCTGCAACTGGTCTCATGATTCACAGGCTGCAAACACAGAACCCTGGGAGGTGAGAATGACATTTATTTCCCTCTTAGCCTGCATTCTGCTGCAACCTCGGCAGCCGCAGCAGCTGGGGGGCCGTTCTCCCTCAGAGACATCACAGGTTGTGGGCTGCAGCCTCTCTTCCACAGCCATCCTCTGGATGCCCCTCATAAATGGCAGGCACAACAGATGGCCTGGGACCCAGAGGGAACACACACACATTACTCTGTCCTCAGGAGCCCTCCTTGGTCAGGTTGAGAAAGAAAAGAGAGACAAGCGCTGTATAAAAGGGTAGAGCAACCGCTTACAGTCAACCCAGCTCTGATTTCCAGATGCCAAGGAAGAAACTCGGCAAAGGCAAGAGAAGAACCAGGCTTTCCCTGCAAGGAATGAACCCCAAATGGATGCCGACCAAAGGCATCTCATTTGCCCTGGGCTCCTCTGAGCATCCGGAAGTTCTCTTTAGGAAGTTCTTGCCTCTTCCCAGCCTCACGACTCCCCTCCATATCCCAGGAGGGGACACAGGGATGTTGGAACAAGAGTTCTTTCAGAACTTGAGGTCACCTAAGCCTCCTGACCTTGCTGGGCCACAGGAGCCCACCTGAGCATGGACCCCTTCTCCTCTTCGCTGACTGCTTCTTCCTCCCGGCGACCCCTCTCCAGCTGTCAGGAAGGCAAGCAGAGTCTGCTTGGGATGCTCTTACCTGGTGAAGAGGTAGCCTGCATTGGGAAGCACGGCATCTTCCCGGCCCGAGGCAGGTGCGGTGGTGCCTGTCTCATCTTCTGGGGATGATGCCCAGGCTTGCAGTCAATCAGGAGAGGCAAATTCACTGCTGTCTCTGCCCATGGGCAGTTGAGAAGTCAGATAAGGAAAACTCGTACCTCTGTTACCCCCCCCCCCTTTTTTTTTCTGTCATTAGGGCTAAGCAGAGCAACCCAATGATTCTTAATCATGCACTAGTTGTGTGTGTATTGTTGTTGTTTTGGTACTGGGGCTTGAACCCAGGGGTACTTAACCACTGAGCCATATCCCCAGTCCTTTCCTATATTTTATTTAGAGACAGGGTCTCACTGAGTTACTAGGGCCTTGCTAAGTTGCTGAGGCTGGCTTAATGCTCTATCCTTCTGCCCCAGCCTCCCGAGTTGCTGGGATTAGAGGTGAGTGCCACTGTAGTTGGCTTATGTACCATTTTCAACACTGTTTATGCTCAGTGAATATGTAGTGAGGTAAGGGAATTTCACGGCTCACTCATACCATCGTCCCCTGAAGGCTGATGAATCAATCATTTCTTTCATTCTTACTGTTGAGGACTCTGCCTTTCGTCTGGGCTATTTGGTGGCCTTTTTCCATTTAGAAATAAACCCAAGGCATGGTTTGCACTCCCTTGTTCTGCACACTGGTGGTGATTAATGGGCTCCGTGTCTGGGAGGATCACTGTGTTGGAGAGCATTGCTGAGTCCATAAGATGATAAATACCCTGAAAAGAGGAAATAGAGCTGTGACCCCTGCCATCCCCAGAACAAATATTAAAAATTTTGTTATAACGATGTTAGGGAATCTCCAATTGTAGCCGGGTCAAAGGCCCCACAAGGGCCATGGATGTGAAGACTTCCCGTGTGAGCCTTAGCAAAAATGTGACATTTGCGTATGCATTCTCTTCCAAAATTTTACCAACACCCATGATTAATAAAGGTATTATCAGTGTTAGTGGCTATGACACATGAAATCTCCCTGCATTTGTCCCCAATTTCAAGGTGCTGTGGCTTCCCAGCATTCTGTGTTCCTAGCCAAGCATCACATAAGCAACTTTCTTGATCTCTTTTTCTTTATTCTTTTTTTTTTTTGATACTGGGGATTGAACCCAGAGTCGCTTTACCACTGAGCTACTTCCCCAGCCCTCTTTATTTTATTTTGAGAAAGGATCTTTCGAAGTTGCCCAGGCTGGCCTTGAACTTTCAATCCTCCTGCCTCAGCCTCCCAAGTTGGTGGGATTTCGGGTATGGGCCGCTGCACCCAGCACCTATCCGTTTTTCTAAAGTAGCACCATTCAGTAGAGCGCTCAGTGATGAGGGAAATGTCTGCTATCTGCACTGCCCATTGGGGTAGCTACCAAGCACATCGGCTGGTGTCACCCAGAAACTAGTGCACGTTTTAATTAATTTCAACTTTAAAAGTGCACGTGTGGCTAGCAGCTGCTGGGTTGCACAGCACAGTTCTCTGAGCTTCTGATACATCTTTCAGGCTCAAAGGGATACATTTTGATGGATAGTGCTGGGAGGCATCTCCTGTGGGTCCTTTCAGGTGACAATACCCAAAGAAATACTATAGACATGCCCTCTGCAAGCCTTCCCAGGCTGGCTTCTCCAGGGTCTCCCCATTTCCCTCTCCCTGCAAGTGGCAGAGCTGTGTCTTAGGGAGACGACTTGCTCTTAGACCACTGGTCTGTGTGTGTGCCTTCAGAGAGGGTTTCTCCTTTCTCAGTGGTTCTCAGCTCTTCATTTCTGGTTGCAAATGATTGACTGGACTGAGTGCTAGAAGCTACAGCAGGTGACTCCCTCCCTCCTGGGCTACCCCACCAGTGACAACACAGGCAGGGGTGGCTTGGCTTCCTTTCTGGTGTTTTTTCCCCCGATAGCTGTCTGCTCAGAACTCACAGAAGGCCTGCCCTACATCCCAGGCAGAGAGCAGCCCAGCCCTTTCCCCAGACACCAGAGCTTCCCCGCAGAGCCTCTGCACTTCCCCTCTCGGTGAGTAGCACCCTTCTCCCTCCTCCCCTGACCCACTGTCACCTGTGTCCTCCGTGGTGCATTGCCACGAAGTCTTGCCCTCGTTTGTTCAGTGATCCTGGGTGCCATGCACTTTGCAAGAAACTTCCAGGGTGGCAAAGGTGAGTCGGTGTTGCCTGGCCCAGGCTGCTTGTAGGGTGAGTAATGAGATCCCTCCTCACCCACACACGTGAAGTGACGGTTCAAGGTGGTTTGTGAGGTGGACCTTGAAGGAGAAGTGGGTGCTGGGGACAGGTGACAAGAGGATGGCCAGGGAGTGGGACAACGAAACACCCATGAAGACCTTGAGTCTGAGACACTGCTCCGTGGAAAGGATTCCTGGTAACCTTGAGAAACTGGAAACAAGCCCCTTGTTACCCAGGGTAGAAGGACTGGCACAGCGCTGACAGTCATTCAGTCCATGACACTCTGTGTTGAATTAGCATAGAGAGTTCATTAAAAAGCAAGATAGAAAATTTGTAAGCCTGTCTGATCTCCTTTCTACTCAGTGTGTGTGTATGAGGTTGTGTACAGAGAAACGTGTCTGGAAGGACGCGTCTCAGAAAGTCAACAGTGGCTAAACTTGGAAAAGGGTTTTTATTTTTTTTTTCATGATATACTTTGCATTTTGGGGATTTTTTTTTTTTGGTGCATTATGGAAATACTCTTTTATGATCAGAAAAAAAGCAGTTATTTTATTATTTTTTTAATGTTTATTTTTTAGTTGTAGTTAGACACAATACCTTTGCTTCATTCATCTATTTTCATGTGGTGCTGAGGATCAAACCCAGGGCCTCGCAAGTGCTAGGCGAGCGCTCCACCACTGAGCCACAACCCCAGCCCCAAAGCAGTTATTTTAAATGACTTTTCAGTGGGTCCTGGCTTGTGGCTTCCAGCGCATGCTCCACGGTAGTTCTTAATTGCCCTGTTGCCTGGACAGCCCGTGAGAGGTGGCTGTCTCCGAGGCTGACCTGGGAGTGCACGGGTCTGAGGGAACCCATCTCCTCCATCCCTTTGCCAAATGGACCCAAGTTAACTCGCCATCACAGCACCTGGAGATTCAGGGCCCTTTTCTTCCGATGTTTGTTCACCTGTCCTGAAGGCCCCTTACCTGCACCCTGCCCATGGGCTTGCACTACAAGTCCCTGGGTCCAGGGACATACATGCTGAGTGGGTGGTGAGGGCCTGGCCTAAGCTTGGTAAGTGACACCCTGATAGATGGCTTGGAGCCCTACCCCAGTTTAGGAAGGCGGTGGGGGGGGAAGCAGAAACACACACACACACACACACACACACACACACGGCAAGATGTGAAACTTTTGTGTAGTGAATTGGACAAAAGTCAGAGTTTGAATCTGCATCCTGACTCCTAGCGGAGCATCTAATGGCTATTGTGGGTGGGTGAGGCTTTGGCCTGGGGTGCTGTACACAGCAGTTCCATGCGATTTCCATGTTGGTTACTTAAGGACAGTCGAGCATATGAAAATCATGGCTGGATAAGAATGGATTCTGGACTCCCTTTCCTAATAGCCTCTTTTCAGATTTGGAAATTTAACAGTGCTCTCCCTTTTCTCTGCCTCCCAGGTCCCTGCCCAGACCCTCACCCCCAACCCCACCAACTTCCCAAATTTCATACCTTTGTTGATACGTCTTCCTGCCTAGAAGTCACATTCCCCCTGCCCCTTATTACATGCCCCCGTGCTCTTCAGCCTTCAAGGGTCAGCAAATATGTCACCTCTTCCACAAAGCCCTCCCAGATGTTCCTCAGTGCTGGAGCCATGGTGTTCCTACAGGACCTCAGAGCATTTACTACTTTGCTGTTTGCAGCCTTGACTTATGTGCTGCACTCGGACACAACTTCTTGAGGACGTGGGTCGTATCTCATACCAGGTTTTTAGGCCAGTGAGAGCATCAGGTGCTCAAGGCTCATTGACCAAGGGACAGGGGCATGCAGAATGTCTGTGCTCTCTCCCTACCACACCTGGCTACTGAACAAAGCCCTGGGAGTAAGCCTGGCCCTCACCACCCCCATTGTACAGATGAGGAAACCAAGGCTCGGCGGGGCATGTCACTTCTTGCCAAGGTCCCAAGGACACAAAAGGGATGGGTCAAGAAGTACAGGGGGTTTTCTGGTCCCTTCACCCAGCTCAGTCCACTCTGCTGTGAAAGACAGGCAGGCTTTCCAGACTGTGCCCACCACCAGGCCTCGGTGAGCAGCCAGGGCAGAGACCGGGCAGCGCTGAGTCTAACTCCGATTTGCTCCCGGTCAACAGTTGACAGGTTCCTCGCCGTCAGTCTGTTTTGTCAAATGTGGGATTTTCCCCCTTTGTTATTTTTCTCCTCCTCAGGCACAAGAAGAAAGTGAAAGCAAACTCTGAGACTTTGCAGTTGGTGGAATAAAATATCTGAAAAGTATTCTGATAAAGAGTTCAGGGTGATCCGTTGAAACCATCAAGGCAGTGCGGGGTGTCTTTAGATGGAAGGTCGAGGAAGAAATACTTTTTTTTTTTTTTGACTCTTTGGCTTACTCCAAAGTTTCCATGATCCAGAAGCACCTCTATCGTGGAAGGAAGGTAGACCTTTATCAAAAGTTAGCATAGGATTTCAAATTTCCAATTTCCTCATTTTTTAATGACGGGTTTGGCTGTTTGGGGGCTGTTGCTTCCCATGGCAGGGAGCAGCCCACAGTTCCTCTTTGTATGAATTTTGTAAACAGGTGTACTAAACGGAAGAGGACTGCCCGCATTTTTTTTTTTTGAAAACTGACAAGTTATTTTTATGATAGCTCTTAAAATAAAATTTCATACACTTGATAAAACACTTCAATACGCGTCAAATCTCAAAGCAAAAGACGGTCGTCTCATTTTGCACCTGTCAGTGTGTGGTTCAGGATCCTTCCAGAAAAGCTTCCGTACTGATCCGCAGCCAAGTGTGTGTTCTTCCACAGATGTTTTCTCAAAGATCACCCCATATTGTCTTCTACACTTTGCATTTTAATCTAATGTTTTTGGTGACTTATTTTCCAACAGTGTGAGGTCTATCTTTCTCTTTTTATTGGTCCCCATGTGGTTTATTGAATGGTTGTATCTCAATATTATCAATTTCTGGATTTTTAGGTTGTTTCAAGTTTTTTAAGATTTTCTTAGTTGTAGGTGGACATAACTTTATTTATTTATTTTTATGTGGTGTTGAGGATCGAACCCAGGGCCTCACATGTGCTAGGCAAGTGTCCTAGCACTGAGCCACAACCCCGCCCTCAGGTTTTTTTGTTCTGCAAGAAAATGCTGCAGTCTACTATCGGGTACTTGTGTGTTTATGTTCTTTTGTGAGAACAGAAAATTCCCAGCAGAATGATCTGCTGAGTCAGAGGTGTTAGGCTTTGTACATTATGACAGGTACGGCTGACCTCTCCAAACTGTCACACAAATTTACACTCCTCACGGAAGCAATTTTCAATCTAAAACTAACTATAACCACAGTCTCTTTTCCTTTTGTGGGGTGCCTCTTAGGGAATTTTTCTCAGATGTTGTTCAATCAATATGTGCTCTCCTCATGCAAGGAAAAGGGAGGTGATGTAAGCCGTAGGTTCTAGAAATACATGAAGTGTTTTTTAATTCATGCCTCAAAAACCAATGTTCCTGTTCTCAAATTCCAATGAAGTTAAGTTTGCTGAGTTGGGGGTCTTCCAAACTCATCTGGGCACTTTTTATCTTAGGGTTTAAAAAAAAAAAGTAGTACTTCTCAGCTCCAAAGTGGCTGCCTTTCTTCTTGCTACTTGAATTTCCCTTCTTGAAACAGATACTTACAGGACTCTTTCTTCTTCTTTTTAAAAAATTTGTTGTTTTTAGATATACTTGACAACAGAGTGTACTTTGACATATTATATATTCATGGAGTGTAACTTATTCTAATTAGGATCCCATTCTTGTGGTATACATGATGTGGAATTTCACTGGTCATATATTCATATGTGAACACAGGAAGATTATGTCCCATTCATTCTACGGTCTTTCCTATTCCCATCCCACCTCCTTTCCCTTCATTACTCTTTATTCTAATCCAATGAACTTCTATTCTTGCCTGCATATCAGAGAGAACATTCAATCTTTTCTTTTTAGGATTGTCTTATTTCACTTAGCGTGATAGTCTCCAGATCTATCCATTTTCCATTTACCAGCAAAAGTCATTTTTTATGGCTGAGTAATATTCTAATGTGTATATATATACCACATTTTCTTTATCCATTCATCTATTGAAGGACACCTCTTGAGTGTTCCTGGAGGAATATTGAGCAGGAATTTATCACCCTAGAGCTGAAGACCCTAGAACAATGCACAAACACTATTTAGGGACAATTCGTGGTTCCAAGAGGAAAGGAGCAGGGGATTTTTTTTTTCTTTCTTCTTCTTTTTTTTTTTTTTAAAGAAAATACATTTCCCATTACCTGGAAATATTTCAAAATAATTATAGAAAGAAGTTGGAAACAAGCTGGGTGCCTCATGGAGGGGACTTGCTTACATGAATGAATCGCGGGACAGCACGGTTTCGCCTATGCATTCAGGCGTCTGAAGAATATTTAATGATGGAGAAAATGGTCATGATCTGTAAGGTGAAGAAAAGAGAAAAATTAGAAGTGTGTAGATGAATAGAAACAAGGCTTCGAGGAAAAATGGCAAAAAGTTAAAAGCAGTTATTTGGGGGTGGTAAGATCACAGATGATTTTGATTTTATTTTTCTCAACTTTTTTGTATTTGTCAACTTTCTTACAAAAATGTAGGAAAAAAATTTATAATAATAATAAGTTGTAAAACAGAAACATGTCTTAAGAGAAGTGCTAGGAATTTTCCGGCACCCCGAGGGCTACAGTGAAATTTCATTTATACTCAGGCGCCTGGTGTGAGGCTGTGGGTGAGGCTACCCGTGTTGATTTCAGAGGAAGTCCCGGCTGCAGGCTTTCTTGTATCTTGGGACCAATTTCCAAGGCATTTCTTTTTATTTTCTTTAAAAAAAATTTTTTGACTCTTATTTGAATCTACTGTTAAGTTTATTGAAAAGTCACAAATTGTGTCAGAAATGTCCCAGGAACCCTTTACCCAAACTGTTGTTTTCATTTTGTCCCATTGACTATTATTCTCTCTCCTAAGGACAAGGACATTCTATGGAACCTCAGTGTGGTTAGCAAAAATCAGGAAATTTAACGCGGACACAGCACTATCATCCAATTCATAGTGTGTATTAAAAAGTCCTCCATGTCCCAAAGATGTCCGTTGGAATTGTGTTTTCCCCACTGTGGGATCAAATCCAGCTTCTTGTGTGTGTGTGTGTGTGTGTTGCTTGACCTTCATATTTTTGGATAGTATCATTCAGTTACTTTCAGAAAGTCTCCCATTTTGAGTTTGTCTAGTGTTTCCTCTATTAGATTCAGGTGGATTTTTTTTTTTTTTTTTTGTACTAGGGATTGAACCCAGGGGCGCTTAACCACTGAGCCACATCCCCAGTCCTTCTTATTTTTCTATTTTGAGACAGGCTCTTGCTGGGTTGCTTAGGGCCTCCCTAAGTTGCTGAGGCTGGCTTTGAACGTGTGATCCTCCTGCCTCATCCTCCAGGGCTGCTGGGATGACAGGCGTGCGCCACTGCATCTGGCTAGGTTGACATTTAGTCACTGCACCTTTTAGGATGAGTGTGACGTTGGTTTGCCCCGAGGCTGATGGTGTTGGGTTTGAAGACTGGCTTAGGTCGGTCGGTATCCTCTGGGTTTCTCTGCTGTAGTTACTAATCTTCCATTTATATTTAATGCGTAACTTTAGGGGAGAGTCTTGGAGAGGTCAATATCTTATTGCTCATCAAATGCTCCCTCATTTATTTTAGCTCCCACTGATGATTTTCTAACTCCCTTTTCCTTTTGTATTTGTTAGTCCTAAGAAGAGCTTTCTCCCTATTTATTTACTCATTCACTTATTTTGACTATTTTTGATTCTCATCTTATTGAATGTGCTGTAATCATTATTGTCCTGATTTAATTTGATGCTCCAGTTGCCTCATATTTGTCGAGTCAGAGCCCCACCGTGTTGGTGGCTATGTCTTTTGATAAGACCTAGTGGTCCTTTGAGCATGGCCTTGATTTCTGGGGCAAAAAGTTGCTCCAGGCTCACCTGGGGGCTTTCCTGTCCCAACTTTTGAACCAGACGTTTCTCCAAGGAGCCTTGATTATTTTTGTTGGATAAAGATATTTAGAAACCAAGATCAGAGTATACTAGGTGCTCATTTTACTGCGTGTCCTTGTTTTTAGGTCCTGTAGGCAGAAAGAGCCAGGAAATACATATGGGAAACAGACTATCTGTCTATCTATCACCTATGCCTCCATCCTTCAAGCCTGCCTATCATTACATCTCTCTACCATCTATTCCGTGTATCTACTTATAATCTAGGTATGTTTGTAGCCACCATCTATCATCTATTCTATTAGTCACGCATCATTCTGTGTATCTATTGGCCCATCCATCAGCCCTTTTAATTATCTATTCTACTTATTTATTGTCTATCATTCTATCATCATTTTATTGATCTATCATCTAATCACTCTACCTATCCTACTATCTAATCTAATCTACTTTTTTTTTTTAAAAAAAAAGCTCAAATTCCTGGGGCTCCCTCAATTCTGGGATCAAGCGCAGGGTGCTGCTGAGGAGGAAGTCCTGGCTGCCTTCCCCAGCTGCTGCTGACAGTCAGAGGCGACTGATTAGTGCGGTGAACCAGAATGAGAATTATTTTCCTTTTCACTTTTAACAGCTTTACGGAGGTGCAATACAGTGAACTGCACATATTTAAAGTGCAGAATGTGTCCCGCTGGGTGCCTGCACCCGGAGATCATGTTCACCGTCCCCCTGGAGGGTCCTTCATGCACCTCAGGACCTGTCTGTCCTCTTGCTGTCCCTCACCCTTCCCTTCTCTAGCCAGGGAATCACTGAGCTGCTTTCTATCACAGTGGATTAGTTTGCATCTCTAGAGTTTTACAGAAGTAGAATCATATAGCATGAACTTTTGCGGGTCTGGCCTCCTTAGAATAATTATTTTGAGATTCATCCACATTTGCTGTGTGTGACTCAATTCCTTTTTCTGGTGGTGGATAGCCCACGGTTGACTACTCCACAGACATAAGGGCTGTTCCTAGTTCCTGGTTATTACAAATAAAACTGCCATGGTGTTTTGAGGACATACACTTGCATTTTTCTTAGGTAAAGACTTGGGAGTGGGGTGGCTGGATCACATGGTAAGTGCACATTTAACATTTTTAAGAAACAGACTGTTTTCCAAAGTGGTTGTGCCATCCAGTATATATGGAAACCCACTGTACTTTCAGAAAAGCAGAATGCGCTATGGCTTTGCTGTGGAAAAGAAGCCACGGTTCAGGGTTGGGTTTTTATGCAGAAGAAAATTTTCTTCTAGAACCTTGGAGTGTGGCATGGGACACTTTTTTTTTTTTTTTAAGTATACTCACCAGGAGTGTAAAAGGCAAGACCTGGTGCAGGGGTAGATCCCTTCCTTGATGAAAACGAAGCTGTTGATTCTCTGATGTCTTTAGTGAGTCTCCTAATTGACAGAATAGGGTGTGTGGGGGTGGGGGAGCCATTGAGCAAAACAGGACCTGACAGGGAAGTTGAATTGAGAAAAGGAAGTCATGTAAAAAGAACGGGTTGGAAAATGTGAGCCATCGCTGGTGGTTTCTCATTCATGGATAGCAGATGTGTTCGTTACTGTTTACACTTAAACAGTAAAAGAAAGCAAATGCCAGTATCAGGCGACTGTCAGGATCAAAGGTGTAAACGACAGCTTCAAAAGAGGTTTCTTTCATTTCTCTTTTCAACTGAGGTGGTCCTGAAATCTAGAATATTTTTGACCTGGTATTAGGGTAACATAAACTCTGTTACTTGGAATCTTTGGTCCATGAGCATGAACAGGTACAGTATCCAATCTCCATGACTGGTGTTTGATGACTATTGCACATTTACAAGCCAGTCCTCTTTTTGATTTTTGTCCTCTCTTTCCAGAAGGAGGCTTGACGTGACCCATCATGACTCCCACGGAATTCACAGTGAGTACAGCCAGGCCAAAAGGAGCCTCGAATTGCACCCTGGTCTTTCTTTTCTGAGGATGTGGGAAGGAGTCTGCAGTGGGTAAAAGGTTTCCTTGTGGGGTTTCCTAGAGCAAATTCTCTGCCCAGCAATGCCCACCATCCTGCAGGTGGTTGTCCAGCATGGAGGGTTTTGCACACACAGAGAGTCAGGTTTGGTGGTTAGGTTGTGAAGACAGGGGAAAGGTTGATTTTAGCTTTTAGTAATAGCTAAGGATTTTTCTGATCTTTAAGTAGGATGGGCTTAGTTCCATGTATCTATTCAGAAACTCAGACCAAAGGAGAGCAAGGGAGAATCTGCTGCATTTGTTCTAGAAAGTTCTGTGGTGGGCACATTAGTGGTATTTCTTGCATGAGGAAGATGAGGCTCAGGAAACAGCTAGGTTGAGACAGCAGAGCCAAGACTGCTCCTTGGACTGTCAATCACTTAGTTTTCTCATTTGGAATCTTGGAAAATAGCCAAACTCTGAAAGGTGACCTCACTCAAGAAGAATGTAGTACCCCACTGATGACCATCCAGGGTCAGAGGAGTCCAGCAGCAGATAAAGGGAGGGCAGGGGCACCTCTGTGGCCCTGGCTCCTGCATTGGATCAAAAGTAGCCATGACACACGGTGGCCACCTTTCTGGGCTCCTCCTGTGCCCCACAAGCCTTCCACCTCACAGGAAAGGCAGAGCCCTGTTTACAGATGAGGAAACCGAGGCTGGGAGAGTTGAGTGAAGGTTCAAGGTCTTCAGCAAACTGGAGGAGCCTTTGAGGCCGCACTGTGTTGCACTCCATGGGCAGATGTCAGAGGCACGGAAATCCAGGTCTCACTGGATTTATCACTGTCTCAGGTGTGGGAATGGAGTGCTTTGGTGGCAGACATCTGCCAATCTCCACTCCAACCCTTATTTCCTTTTCCCCAATGGCATCTGGGCCAGGAACACACAGAAAGTGTAATGAGAAAGTGTAAAGTGCAAATATGTCCAGACTTGGGCATTTGTATGTATATATTGACACGTGCATAGGTGCATACACATGTGTGTGAGCATGAGGGTAGGTTTGTTTATACACATGGACGTGTGCAGAAACACGTATGTATCATGTGTGTACATGTATGTGCGTGTCAGAGCCAGCTTTCTGGGCATGTGACCCATGTGGTCACACAGGGGCCATGTGCTTAGACGTATTGTTTACTTGATTTAATGCTTGCTGCCTAGAAATTCTTAAATAATTTTTAAATGAGGGGCCCTGAAAATTATATAGCTGGTCATGATGCTTGTGTGTGCATGCAGTTGAGAGAAAATGACTGTGTATATCTGCATACATGCGGGTGTTGAAGGTGTGTGTGTTGGTGCTTCTGGAACTTTGAGGAAACTCAGAGTGCTGTGACCCACATACATTTAAGACCCCCTGCTGACCTCTCTTTTGCGTGTGTGGTGGGGGTGAAGTGGAGTAGGTGGGAGAAGGGACAATTACACTATCACAGTCATTCACACAGTTGGATGATGCCCTGTCAGTGGTCTTGACTCACTCTTTCCTACCCAATCAGGGCATTTGTCATGCACCCTATAAATCTTTGCTTATCTTTCATGAATAAGGCAAGCTCCATGAGAGTGAGGATCATGCCTGACTTACCTACCACTGTATCTTCAGCACCTGGTACAGTACCCCACTGTGGGTGCTCAATAAACATTTGATGAAGAAATGTCACAACCTGTATTGGTCAGTTTTCTGTTGCTATAACAAAATACTTGGTGCTGGGTAATATATAAAGAAAAGGAGTTTATTTGGTTTACAGTTTTGGAGGCTGTATGTCCAAACTGGGCAGCCCCATTGATTCAGCTCCGGATGAAGGCCTTCTGACTACCTCACATCATGGCAGATAGCCTCATGGTGGGGGAACATGGCAGAGGGAATGAATGGTCACACAGCAAGACAGGAAGCAAGAGGGATTCAGGGACAAGGCTTACTCTTTTCCTAACAACCTGCTGCTATTAACCAGCAGGAACTAACTACAATAATCTGTTCTGAAGGCGACAGCCCCATGATCTAATCACCTTTCACTAGACTCCACCTCTTAAAGGTTCCAGCACACCAGCACCACCATATTGGGGTCCCATATTCCCACATATGAACCCTTGGGGGACACACATCATATCCAAACCATGGTGTTTCTGCTTTCTTATGTTTTTGCCTTATCAGAGATTTTTTTTGGCATTGGAAAGGTCAAGTGGTCCTCACCTCTGCCATCAGACGGGACGTCCAAAAGATCGTGCTTAATCTAATGCCATCTGTGTCCTCCTGCAGATCTTTATTCCTAATATGTCTGACGACTACAGCTACGAGTCCACATCGTCCGTGGACGACTACATGAACTTCAACTTCACTGAACTCTTCTGTAAGAAAAACAACGTCAGGCAGTTTGCGAGCCACTTCCTCCCTCCCCTGTACTGGCTCGTGTTCATCGTGGGCACCTTGGGCAACAGCCTGGTCGTCCTCGTCTACTGGTACTGCACCAGGGTGAAGACCATGACCGACACGTTCCTTTTGAATTTGGCAATTGCTGACCTTCTCTTTCTCATGACTCTTCCCTTCTGGGCCATCGCCGCTGTTGACCAGTGGAAATTCCAGACCGTCATGTGCAAGGTCGTCAACGGCATGTACAAGATGAACTTCTACAGCTCCGTGTTGCTGATCATGTGCATCAGCGTGGACAGATACATCGCCGTTACCCAGGCCACTAAAGCCCAGACCTGGAGGCGGACAAGGCTTCTGTATAGCAAGATGGTTTGCTTGAGCATCTGGGTGGTGGCAGTAGCGCTCTGCATCCCGGAAATCCTGTACAGCCAGGTCCAGAGGGAATCTGACCTCACCATCTGCACCATGGTCTACCCTAGGGACGACAGTATCAGACTGAAGTTAACCGTTCTGACCCTGAAGGTCATCCTGGGGTTCTTCTTGCCCTTTATGGTCATGGTTTGCTGCTACACCATTATCATCCACACCCTGATGCAAGCCAAGAAGTCGTCCAAGCACAAGGCCCTCAGGGTGACCATCACTGTCCTTACCGTCTTTGTCTTATCTCAGTTCCCCTACAACTGCATTCTGTTGGTGCAGACCATAGATGCCTACACCAGGTTCATTTCCAACTGTGCCATCTCCACCAACATCGACATCTGCTTCCAGGTCACCCAGGTCATGGCCTTCTTCCACAGCTGCCTGAACCCCGTTCTCTACGTTTTCGTGGGGGAGAGATTCCGCCGGGATCTTGTGAAAACCCTGAAGAACTTGGGTTGCATTAGCCAGGCCCAGTGGGTCTCGTTCACGAGGAGAGAGGGCAGCTTGAAACTGTTATCGAATTTGCTGGACACCACCAGCTCCCTGTGAGGGCGCCTCTCTCTGAAGCAGATGGTCCTTTTGGAAGGAAGGAGACACAGTTTACCCACCGAGGGGGCCAGGGAGAAACCAAAGAGTAAAATGGAAACGAGAAAAAAAAAATGTCAGAAAGGAATTCAAACTGAATATGTTTTCCAAAACAGAGTTTTCAAAACTGACCATTCTAGAAGGCCACCGACTGACCCTCATCTGTGATCATTGCAGTTTTCAGGGGAAGATTAGTGACCAGCAGTGAGGCCCACCCTGGCTTTGCACTTGACTGGACATTCATGTCGTTGGCCTCTGGAGCAGGTGCTGGATTTTCTAGGGCCTGTGAATGGCTGTGACTTCCAAAAGGGGACTCAGGAGCACTGCCCACTGCCATAGTCCACAAAGGCAGAAGGTTTCATGAAAGCTCCCATCTTCGGGAAGTTTCCTCCCTGGTTTTGGGCCAAACACCCGTGTCACATCTTACAGATTTGTGATCTTGACTCTTTCCAAACCATCTCAGACCTAATTCTCCCCTGGTCTCCTTGATCCCTTCTGGGCCGGGGGTGGGGGTGTGTGTAGGGGCCCTTGTTCCTGTTTTGAAATTTGTCTGCAGGATGAGCAGTGAGCCTCCTGGACAACTGGCCACACCACCAGGAGTCTGTTGGCTTCTAAGTCCTTTATGTGACCTGATGGAGGTTCTGTGACTCACCTTGGGGTTGATGTGGGTGAGGATTCAGGTGGTCCACTGATACCCTGACAGGGAGATTGACAGTCTGGATTAGTGGGCACCAGCCCTGGCGTGGTGGCAGCCTCTCTCAGCTGAGTGGCACTTGCGGTTGGTCTACCCTGTCTGCTCCCTATCAGATGGGCTGGCTCTTTGGTCCTTTGGTCCTCTTCCTTGAGGCTACTGGAAGGGATTCTGCCTCTGGGATGCATCTCCTTTTCTCATTCCATAGAGCTAATGTTTAAAAAGCTTTCAACTTTGGAGATTAGGCTGAAAGATGTGTAATATAACTCACTTTGGGGGGGTATGTACAGGGGATTGAACTCAGGGGCACTGGACCACTAAGCCACATCCCCAGCTCTGTTTTGTATTGTATTTAGAGACAGGGTCTCACTGAGTTGTTAGCACCTACCTGTTGAGGAGGGTGGCTTTGAACTCTCAATTTTCCTGCCTCTGCCTCGGGAGCTGCTGGAATACAGGCGTGCACCACAGCACCCGGCTCACTTTTCTTTTGTGTCTTTCTTTTCACTATTTGACAAATTTATCACATTTGAAATCATTGTACATATTGAAAAAGTGTTATTAAATGTCTTTAAAATATTCATTACTTGCCACTTGCTTTAGCATGTCTAAATGTATTGTGTATAATCGAAGAGCAAATAGACATATAATGGTCGTCAAGAGGAGGGATTGGGTGAGGTAATAAAATCTCCAAGTACCTTAAAACCATCTTGACTGAACAGTTTTTCTCTCTCCTCTGGCCAAACTCACTTCCCGAATTTTCCCCAGTGAGTCAGATGTGGTTTCCAAGGAGGACTGTTGGAATAAATAGCACCACAAACCACGGACTTTGCCACTTTCTCCAGGGGAAGTGTCTGACCTCCCCAGTGCACTGTAGACAGCTGTGGTTTCAGTTCTGACACCATTCCTCCCAGAAGGGGACACAAAATCAATGGATTTTGCCATATTATCCTTCTGCTTGCTGTGTCCAAAGCATGTGAAATAAAGAGAGCAGAGTTTGGAAGGACGAGTGGGGTACGATGGCCACACTCACCCATCCACCGGCTGCCTGTGCGTGGGCAGTTAGTGGTAAGGAAGCGTTGGCCTGGGACCAGCATATCCACATGAGCCCCAGGACAACAGGCACCACTTCCAAAGGGAGGATGGCTTTTCCAAGGTCAAATTAAGGTTACAGCCATCCACGCAACCAACCATCTTTCCCAGGAGAAGACCCCAGGTGTGCCCTTTCCAGGAACTTGGAAGAATGAACAAGAAACACAAGCCGTACCTGGTTAACACTGCATGGTAAAGTGGGCAGAATGCAGAGAAGGTTGGCTTGGCCCTTCTGTGCCTCTTCAGAACTGAGGTTCTAACATCCTGTCATGGGGCCCGGGATGCTGAGGGTGGGGGAGAGATGGAAAGAGGAAAAGGGACCCATGACCATTTTGTTCAATCCATACTTGTGGCCTAGGGTTCCCTACAGATCACTATGATGAAGACATAGTGGGGGTTTTAAGATAAATAAGAATTTGGTTAATGTCATTAGTTGGGAAAAAATACCAGGGGAGCCACGATTCCCCCTGGGGTTTGTAAGATCAGAGACATGGCAACAAGTAAGAAGTAGGAGCCTGGTCTTGCCCCTCAGGCACAGAAACCATGCCTAGCTCCAAGAACTTCTTCTAGGACCCGGATGTCGCTATTAGATTGTCCCAGTCCTAAGCTGGCTTCAGTGTAGGATTAAAGATATGCTGCGACCGCGACATGTTTTAAAGATTTTAAATATCCTTGTTGAAAAGTGCCCTCCTTTTTAAATGGTTGCATAAATAGGATTGATAAAAACGACAGTATACATTTGGATTTTACATTCTAATTAAACTTGATTTTGTAACAGTTTAATGATGAAATAAAAATATTGGGAGAGTCAACAGGAGGAAATCCACGAGGAAGCTGAATTCAACACTCAACACTTCTTGGAACTATGCTGCATAAATATTTTTTTTAAATGAAGATAAATGAGGCATTTAGTATATAACTATGTTTTATTGTAACTCTATAAATTAGAGAATACTTCCTAGTTTTGACTGAATGAAATATGACATGTTTTCATCTTTTAAGAGAGGTTAGCTTTTTAATGAAAAACATAATTTGAATAAAAGTCATTTTAAGTCTATACATATATAAATAGGGAACATTGCTTTGAAGTAGGCAGTTTGGATGATTAGAGATCTGACCTTTTTGGACTATTAGACCTTCAGAATACACATCCATCCATCCATCCATTCATTCAGCAACATTTATATAAAGCTCATCAGGGTGATAGGGGACTTATGATTGTCCTTCCCACAAGACATTTACATTCCAGCAACAGGGAAAAGCCCAGTGCCCTATGGACCTGCGTCTTGTGGGATGGTATTGAAAGCTCTGGCAGGCAACACCCCCTGGTAACATCGGTGCTGACGTCAGGTATGACTTATCAGCTGGTTTCTAGACTGTTCCCAGGGTGAGCCTCAACAGGGCTGCCTTGCTAGAACAGCCAGGGAGCCTCTCCATATCGACTCTTGGACAAGTGGCTTTGTGAGTGGCCCTGCTTTGGTCCCTGTGTTAAACATTGCCCTCCCCACCACCCACAAGGTATTTGTGTGTGGTAGGAACAGTTTGGCCCATTTGAGGTCTTTTGATTTTATATTATAAAGTCTAAAAAAGGTGGGTCATTGTGACTCTTGAGTGCTCTGAGCTCCTCTCCATTCCAGATACAATTATTTGTACATAGTCAATTTTGGTACCACTGTCCCAGGAAAGCAGGGAGCTAAAACTCCAGACCTCTGTTCTTGTGTTCCGACAAAAGAAAATTTAAAATCAGACACCAAAAGCCATGGGAGGGAACTTTATTTTAAGTGAAAGGGAGGTGAAAGTAAAGTAAAAGCAGAGTGAGTCTTAAGCAGAGAGCTCTCTCCATCTCCCAGCAGAGGACGACAAAGGACACAATGCTATCCCCAAATTTATGACTGTTTGATGTTTACCGGGAGACCTGGGGACCACCGTTGTACTCTTTGTTCTTCATCTCAGGTGGTGGAGTTTTTGACCTAGTTGGTCCTCTCCAGAACTGTCGTGGTGGTCATCCTATTTAGGGGGCTTCATCTATAAGTCAATCCCATGTTAATGTGGGCTCTGGGTCAGTAGCTGGTCAGAAGTTACCTTAGTGCATACGACTGTGCTATTAAAGGAATCTTTCTTTCCCGGTACACAGAGACACCTATAGCCATAATTCCTAGCCTCACACAAACCTCACTGACCCTGTCAAGAGTTGGTCCCATGCATCCTTTTCTTTTGACATATTCTTTCCCATTATCTTCTTTGCTTCTATTTATTTTCTACAAATTAACTACCACCCTTTGCTTTCTCAGCCACTTTGAAAATAGTTCAAAGAAGACCCTAAAGTAATTTAAAGAACGCTTGTGACCTTGCTATGCATTTCACTGCTCATGGCTAGGCTAGGACGTGGACCTGGAGGTGTCTGGCTGCCTCATGTGGTCAGACAAGCCAGCCCTGCCTTGGAGGGTCCACCATTTGCAATGAAGCTAAGTAAAAACCCCTCTGATGAGATGAATATGCTTCAGGAGGGCATATGTAGAGAGCTTTGCCTACACAATTTTCAGCCTCCAGTTCCTGCAGGGCCTGCCTCCCCCATAGAGCTGTCCTGCCTAAAGCCAGCTCCTCCCTGAGCCAGGTGCTTCCCATGCCTGCGAGGCAGGATAGTGAAACCATCTCAGCTGATAGGGCACTGTGACAGGCAAAATCTGCTCCAGGGCTTCCTGCCAGCTGACAGAGGCTTTGTCCTGCTTTGGAGCCTTCAATGCAGTCTGAACTCCCGCTCCGCTCAGCCCCTTGGCATTGATTCCTCCCATCTTATATGCGCCCCCACCCCACTTCACCTTGGCACCTGCTTCTGGAGAAGTCGGCCTGCAACAGGGGCATCCAGTGAAAGAACTCACTTCAGGTCCAGTGGGGAAGAACATTGGGTGTCCAGAGACAAGTAGTGAGGGTGGATACTTGTCCCAGGATTCCTCTGCAGAGGCCAAACATGTCCCCACTTCTCATGAGCCAGTCATGCAGATATTGTCCTTAGCCACCAACTGCACAGTGCATGGCACAGGCATGGTCTCCGTCCCCCGTGGGGAATCACAGTCATCAGCTGCTGCAGCTTCGAGCTATGCCAGGTGGAGAGTGCTGCCCATGAGAGGCGCCCTGCTTCACAGATGGAGCAGCTGAGTCTTGGCAGTGCAAGGAAACTAGCCAGAGGCCACGCAGTTAGTAATGGGCAAGGCTAGGACATGGACCTGGAGGTGTCTGGCCCTTGGGCCTTGGTCTTGTGCATTCTGTTGCCTCCTGTGGTCAGACAAACCAGGCCTGCCTTGGAGGGTCCACCCTTTGCAAGCCACACTTTGTGCTGAGGCTGGGAGGCTGGGAAGGCAGACAGGCATGGGCTTGGCCCGCTCCCCTCACAAACCACTTCATGCAAACTCTGAACTGTGGTGTGGGATGGCCAAGGCCCTGCTGAGTGCACCCTGTGCATCAACCAGCAAAAAACAAGGTCCCCATCCTTGCAGAATCAAGAAGGCTCCTCCTGCCTACTCCCTCTCCCAGGCTCCTCTGCAGATGCATGCAGCTGTGGAGCTTCACTTGCTCTGTGAAGGAGCCACAGGTCCCACTGAAGGTGTGTGTGTGCACAGCAGAGGCCCAGGAACATGGCTCTGGCCCCCGGCAGACCCCTGGGCTGTGGAATTCCTGATGTTGGCTCTTCTCCTTGCCCTGCCCTGTCCCCTGCCTCTACCTTCCCTAGCTCCCCTATCACAAATGTGAGAGTGGGCCACCACACAGTCCCACCCAAGATACAACTTTGGGTTAGATCTCCTGGCATGCTGAGGGGTTGGGACACCACCCACTGCTGTGCCCCTGCAGCTGGGCAGGTCCCCTTAGGGCCACACTGTCCCACTGCAGGCTTCTTAGTCAGGTCCTGGCTCGTGATGCAAATCTGAGAAACGTCCTCCTGGAGATGGTGGTCAGCCAACACGGGAGGTGCTGAGGTCAGGAGAGAGTGGAGGCTGGCAGTGACCTTGCTAGAACATTCTGGGGCATAATCAAGACAGAGTTGTCTGGTTGAGGTGCAAATAAATGGAAAGAGAGGATGTGGGACGAGAATGTGCAGATAAAACTTGTGTCGGGTTTGCCAGGATGAAGTATTTGGAGAAATCCAACAAAACACACAGCACCATTTTTTGGTGGGAGGGTTGACATCCTTTTTTTGACTGTCTTTCATTCACAAATGAAGGACATAATTGTAAGAACTTGTTTGTACTCAATTTGCTGTGTCTTAGTTACTGTTTCCAAAAAACTGCTATAAAACAATACCCATTTTATTTTGCTCACCAAAGCAAAAAGTTCTCAGTGAGGCATGTCTAGCCTGGGGTTTGTCATGCTGCTGTGGTCTCTGAGGGCTTGCCTGGGAGGGTCAGCGTGTGGGGCCAGCAGTTGACACTGGTTGCTAAATCGGGCCTGGCCCTTAGCCTCCTCTGCCTGGAGTTCTTTTGGAATTCACAGTTCTTATATGGCAGCCGGCATCCCCAGAGTAAGGGTCTCAAGGGAACCAGGGGGGAAGTTGCATGTCCCAGGAGCCAGAAAGTGTCACTTCTGCTCTTCTTTATTGGTCAGACCAGTCACAAGCCAGT